TTTTAGTGGGGGGGGCACCTGGGGGGGGCACAGAAAATTTGTGGGGGGGCGGCGTGCCCCCCAGGCCCCCCGTAGCTACGCCCCTGTTCTTATCCCCTGTGGAAAGCACGTGGATTGCTAAGTAAAGTGGCCCCCACTCTATCGTACCTCATATAAACAGACACGTCGTTTAAATGACGATGTTAATACGGTCCTCATGCTGTTTATGCGTTCATCACTCAATCGGGAACCATCGTCTAATCGAGGATGCTTTCACCGTCCCCCACTTGTCTCGATAAAGCGGGGATGCTCACATTTTAAGACCAATCGTTCTAAAAAATTTCGATTCAAGCGTCAGGGACTGGCGTAATACGCTCGCTCCGTGTATCACGGACAGTTCGTGCGCGTTGCTGAGACGCGAGATTGTTGTTTTGCACGTGCGGATGTTTCCCCGTTCGTCGCCTGTTCGTGACTTTGTGCAATGAGTGTGAGAGGTGAGTTGTGTGCAGACAGAGAGGGGAGTTAACCTTGTGTGGAGGTTTCCTGTATTTATGCAGCTCGCCTTATGCAGCCCTAGGTAAAAACTTGTGTTCTCGTTTGTCTGCCCGCAGGCGAGTACACGTGCCGCGCGGAGTTTGACGCGTACATCGCCACGGCGACGCTCGAGTCGCTCGACAACAGCACGGGGATCCTGCGCGTCTGGTTCCTGCTGCTGGAGGGGCTGGCGGGAGCCGCCGTGACGTGCCCGCGCGCCTACCAGCCGCACACGCTAGAGCTGCTGTTCAGCCTGCTGCAGGAATCCGCAGAAGTACCAGGCGAGTTGTGTGCAGAGTGAGAGGAGAGTTGAACTTGTATGCAGAGTGAGAGTTGGTCTTGTGTGCAGAGTGACAGTTGACCTTGTGTGCAGAGTGACAGTTGACCTTGTGTGAAGAGTGACAGTTGACCTTGTGTGAAGAGTGCGAGTTGACCTTGTGTGAAGAGCGACAGTTGACCTTGTGTGAAGAGCGACAGTTGACCTTGTGTGAAGAGTGCGAGTTGACCTTGTGTGAAGAGTGACAGTTGACCTTGTGTGAAGAGTGCGAGTTGACCTTGTGTGAAGAGTGACAGTTGACCTTGTGTGAAGAGTGCGAGTTGACCTTGTGTGAGGAGTGCGAGTTGACCTTGTGTGGAGGGTGCGAGACGAATTTAACCTTGTGTGGAGAAGTGAGAGGCGAGTTGACCTTTAATGCCGAGTCCGAGTGACAGAATACCTTAAAGGTTCTGTATTATGCAGCCTGCCTTATGTAGTACTGGGAAAAAAACTGTGTGGAGAATGTGAGAGGCAACTTGAACTTGCGTGAAGAGTGCTATATGCTATTATGTGTGATAATTCATCTGCTTAAACACCTTAATATAGCACGCTTTTACAAATTTAGAAATAATGATAATAATAATTATATAAATTTATAATCAAACTAATAACCAATGATAGTATATCACGGTAGCGGCCGTATATTGTATTACGACCGTGACTCGATAATTAATATTAATTAATCAATACGTAACATGTATAAATTAATAATAATTAATTGTAATTAATATTGTAAAACTAGGAGTGACGTTTGCCGTCTACTGCGTCAACCACCTGCTGCTGCCGATGCTGCAAGGATGGATGCGGCGGAACTCGCAGGTGAACGGATTCTGGGAGAGCTCGGTGACGACAAACTTCAAGCAGAGCTTCGGCATGTGTTCCGACATCGTCATGAAGTTCGTGACGACGTACACGGGTGAGTCGTGATGACGTACACGGGTGAGTCGTGATGACGTACACGGGTGAGTCGTGATGACGTACACGGGTGAGACGTGGCGACGTACACGGGTGAGTCGTGATGACGTACACGGGTGAGGCGTGGCGGTGTACACGGGTGAGGCGTGACGACGTACACGGGTGAGGCGTGGCGACGTACACGGGTGAGTCGTGACGACGTACACGAGTGAGGCGTGGCGACGTACACGGGTGAGACGTGGCGACGTACACGGGTGAGTCGTGATGACGTACACGGGTGAGTCGTGATGACGTACACGGGTGAGTCGTGATGACGTACACGGGTGAGT